AACTATAGCTAATAATGATAGCAATAAGCTGTATAAAGTAAATAAAACCTTAAGTTTAAATGGAAATATTTGATATATATTAAATTAAATTGATAATAAGATAGTTTTTGCAATCATTATTTATAACATTCATTTTTTATATTATATATTATTTTAATCGGAAATAAAAGATTTGTTATATTTAAAGACTAGCTTCCTGGTCAGTTTTTATGTTGTCATATATTTATAAAGTAATTCGTTCGATTTAGAGAATTAAAGAAAATACAAATTTATTTTTATTAAATTTTAATTATTATTTTAATGAACACTGTACACCGTTGTCAAGTTATCGGTTAATAAGCATTTCAATTGGATGTTAGTACTTAGTACTAGGCTAAAAATTGTGCAATTTTATTAAACCAGCAATTTCTTTTTTTAAAAATTATTACAACACAAAAACTTACCAACATATTATATAACATTTAAAATAATGTTTTTTTTTTTGCATTTTGATTATATTTTTATTCTTAATAGCTATACGCGCTGTATTTCTTTTTTCACAAATTCTCTAATAATAAATTGTGGCTTGATTATATTATAGTTCAACGTTTATTTAAAATACTATTTTTAATATACAATATACGCAATGTATATATACATATTCTTATATAAATTTATGTACCATAAATTACAATTATTTTCTTTTAAAGTGTATTTTTATATTTCTCTTTATATAATATTTATACATAAATTTCTTGTATATTCATTACTTATATATATAATTTTTATTTATAAATTACATTAAATTATTTGTATATTGATACAATTCTTGTGATAATTTTTACAAACTTACCCACTTTTTCTAGAAAAAATAAAAAGTATCTAAAATTCTGTTCATAATTGTTTTGTTTTTGGTTCTGACTTTATTATTATCGTATAAAATTGTGCTATCCAACTTTTTCTTAGATTTTATTGCAGATATAAATCTCAATAGATTTACAAAATTTGTTTCCATAAAAACCAATAGTATATTTTTTACAGTTAAACATAAATATTAGTAAATTCAAAATCCTAGGCTTTCAAGTTATTTCTAATTAGTGCCACTGATCTTAACTTGGATTTGACAATTCGATTTTGAATTTTGAATTTTTTCTACTTCACCCAGTATACCCTGAGGATTTTATTAATAAGTCTTTATATTTTGTTAATAAAAATTCATATTGCATTTTGCATTAATTGTGACTGAAAAATATATTTTAATAAATATCTTTTTATTGGTTAATTGTTTATTAGCATAAAATTAGCAAATATTTTAATCAAGTTTGTTATAACTATTAATAATAGTATTGGAATATCAAATTTAAGATAATTAAGATTGGAAAAAATTATAATGTGCTGAAGTTAAGGTTATGACGACGACGGTGCTTATAGAAATCCACCTATTCCTATTGACCCATTGTGTTACCGTACCAAAATTGGAGAGTTTTGAATAATCCATTTTTAATTCAAATTTAAATTTTTGCCATCCTTATATGTACAATTATACTCGTATATTATTTTTGTGTTGATTTTTCAATATAATAGCAAACATATGAAATAATTAAAATTTATTTTTTTATTTTATAATATGTTATAATTGAAAAATTTACTATAATATTAAACAATTAACCAAAAAATTAAGTATAAAATTAAAACATTTTAGTATAAAACATATATATTCATTATATTAAAATAAATATACATATATGTAATATTATTGTAGATTGAATCCTTTCTAAATATCCTAAATCTAATCCATCCTCATCACATCACATTTTCTCTCATTCAATTATTTTGTTGATAATAGTTTTAAAAGAAGTAAAACGTAAATTTGTAAATATCATTTATTTAAAAAATAAATATTTTCTTCTTTTTAATATAGGTATATACTGTATAATGTCTCTTCAACCAAGCGTAAGACCACGTGTTCGTGTTCCTTCACCTCAACTTATGGGAAAAGTTGGTATTCGTCCTGTCATGACGTTTACGGGTCCCAGGGTTAGTATATCATTATTACTTTTGAACAGTTTCAAAAAAATAAATCAAAAAATATATATAATAAAAATATTTTATTATAAAAATATATTTAATAAATAAAACCTAATAAATATAAACCACAATAATTATCAAATTTTATTATAGATGTCTTTTCGACCAAGGATTCCACCTTCTGTTAACGTTGTTAATAGACCATCGGTAATTGCTGATACCTTTAAGCCACGCGGCGGTTCAATTTCTGTTCGTCCAAGGGCAATATTAGCATCACCCCAGGCTGCAAAGCCTGATTCTAATGATTCTGGTATTAAGACACGATATATGTTATTTATTTTTAGTACATTTATTTCAACCAAGTAAAAATAAGTATTAAATATATTCTAATTTTTATTTTTCTATATAAGTACCAAATTTGATTCGTCGTATTTTAATATCTCCACCTATTCCGCACTCGCCTTCAAATTTGTCGTCATTTTCGTCAACTTCAACTTCATCATCTAGTTGTACTCAAATTGAAAACTCCATAGCTAATCGTAATGTTTTTTTTTAACTTTTTTGTATTTAGTTTTTAGAAAATTAATAAAATATTTTTTTTATTATTTACTATAGTTGGTGTTGTTGCTGCTAAGCCGAGAGGTAATTTTGAAATAAATATGTTTTTAAGTTAAACACTTTACCAATTATTTCTTAAATTTTTTCTTTCAAAATAATTCTAGGCAAAGGGCATGGAGGACGTGGTATTTATAATATTTTATAAGAATATAAATAAAATACAAAATACTATATATAACATAATTTTTTTGTTTAATACATAATTTTGTTTGTTTTTTGTTTCTAATTAGGTGGACGTAATCGTGGTGGCCCGCATACACCGTTGTTGGATTCCTTGTTTACACGGCCACAAACTTGTGTTTCCAAAATGGGTGAAACTGGACGCCATGTTACTGTTGATACGAACTATTTCAAGATCTTAAAGAAACCCGAATGGAACATTTATCAATATAGAGTAGATTTTGTACCGGAAATAGATATGAGCTTTGTTCGTCGTACATTAATTCTCCAACATAAAGCAAAACTTGGTGGATATATATTTGATGGGACAATGCTTTTTACTACTAATGATTTAAGAGGCACTAAAAAGGGTCATTATCATGAATTCCATCTAACGTCTGAGTATCGTGATGGAAAGACAGTGCTTATTAAAATTAAACATGTTGGTATTGTCGATGCAAATGAGGCTCAACTGTTCCAAGTATTGAATTTAATCTTACGTCAATCAATGGGTGGACTGGATTTACAACAAATAGCTCGTCACTTTTTTGATCCTTATGCTAAGGTAAATGTGAATACAATTTTTTTTTTATTTAATAATGCTGAAAATAGCTCGTCCACCACCAATTATGGTCTCTGAAGATTATAAATACTCAGAACTGCAAGCTGTTGTAAAAAGTAACTGCAAGAAAGATTAATTAAGCTCCTCAATAGCGGTACTTATAAAATCAGTACATTTGAAATAGGCGACTACAGAGCTATTACAAAAGTGCTGTCTTCAAAAAAAGCTGCCTGGTATTCGTATGAAAACAAGCATCTCCGACCATTAAAGGTTATTGCAAAAAATCTTCCTCATTCATGTGACCCAGTCGATATCGTATTCGATCTGAAACAACAAGGTTTTAAAATCGTGAACGCGGTCAACAAATGGAAATCACATTCAAAGATTCCACTTAATATGTTCATGCTTACATTTGAGGCGACAGAGGATATAAAAAAAATATATAACATTAAAGCTATTTTAAACTGTGTTGTTAAAATTGAACCAATAAAGCACTCAAAGCAAATACCACAGTGTAAAATATGCCAAGCGTATGGTCACACACAAAATTATTGCGGCAAATCAGCCCGGTGTGTTAAATGTGCTGGCAGTCACAGTACTGCAGAATGCAACAAACCTGATCAGCACCAACCAAAATGTTGCAACTGCGGTGAGGGACACCCGGCCAATTACAGAGGTTGTATAGTAGCCAAAGAACTTCAAAAATTGAGAAACAAAAAAATTGGTGAACAAAACAAAGGTAAACAGCGTAATCATATATCGGCTGAAAACCAACCTGAAAATAATCAAACTAATGTTCTAAATAAAAACCCAAAATCGCTGAATAATAAAAAAACATATTCGGATGTAGTTCAATCCAACACTGAGGACGATGGTAATTACAAAATACTAACACAAATACTGGAAAAAATCACTACTCAAGAAAACTTTTATAAAGCATTGGACAAACGCTTGACTAGGCTAGAGCAAAAACTCAACAAAACAAATAATGCTTAGTTATATAAAAATAATGCTATGGAACTCGAACGGTCTTCTACAACACCTTAGAGAGCTTGAAACAGTCCTATCAGTCAAAGATGTTGATGTTTGCTTAATTAGCGAAACTCATTTTACTAACCAAACATATGTTAAACTAAAGAATTACGAAGTATATAGCGCAGTCCATCCTAGTAATTGCGCTCGCGGAGGAAGTGCTATTTTAATTAAAAAATCATTAAAACATTACGAGTCTACAAAAATATCCAAAGAGGAATTCCAGGCAATAACTGTTGTCCTTGACTTACAAAGCAAATTACTACTAACATCGGTATACAGTCCTCCAAGACATTCAATTAAATCCGAACAATACAAAGATCTTATAGAAACTCATAAGCATCGCTTCATTATGGGTGGCGATTTCAACGCTAAACATACGCATTGGGGCTCTCGCTTAATTACAACGAAAGGTAGAGAACTCCTCAAAGCTATACAGCAAACTGGCTGCGAATGCTTGTCATCCGGGAACCCAACCTATTGGCCAACTGACCCAACAAAGGTGCCTGATCTACTCGATTTCTTTATAACCAAGCAAATTTCGTCCTACAATTTAAAAATAACAGATGGAGTAGAACTAAGTTCCGACCATTCCCCTCTCTACATAACCCTCTTCGAATCTGCCTTAATAAATAAAAAATGTCTAAAACTTGAAAATAAATATACAGATTGGAGTTACTTCAGAAGAATCCTTAATGAAAACACCATTGCTTCAAAAGAAATTTGTGAAGAAAATGATCTTGAAAGCGAAATTTTGAACCTTACAAATTTACTACAACATGCGGCATGGTGCAGCACGCCCACATTAAGGAATGCAACCTATCCTCATAAATACCCAAAAGTCATTGTGGATCTTATGCGGGAAAAAAGAAAGATGCGGAAAAAGTGGCAGCAATCCAGATTTCCAGCAGACAAAGCCATTCTTAACAGACTTGCAAAAGAACTCAGCCTAAAAATCAAGCAATTTAAAAATAATCAATTCAACTACTACCTATCTACCTTAAGTAATGATCGTGCTACCAACTATTCTCTCTGGAAATGCACACGAAACCTTAAGCGACCTTTAGTACACAAAGCTCCAATTAAAAATCACGCTAATCAATGGGCTAAAAGCGATGAGGAAAAAGTGGAGGTCTTTTCCGAACACCTGTCAAAAGTGTTTTCCATAGACGAAAACGTTAACAATGCAGTAATCTGCCCTCCTAGGACAGCACATTCATCATGTATTCCACCAACCACCGAGCTTGAGGTAATGATGATTATTAAAAATGAACTTAAGCTAAAAAAACCCCAGGTTATGAATTGATAAGTGCTGAAGTTTTAAAAGAAATTCCTGCAAAATGCCTAGTTAAAATTACGAATATATTTAACGCTATAATACAGATGCGAAGCCTTCCATCCCTGTGGAAAGTATCTGAAATTATCATGGTACATAAGCCAGGAAAGGATATTAATGACGTAAGTGATTACAGACCAATAGCACTTCTGCCTGTACTTTCAAAAATATTTGAAAAAGTCTTACTGAAAAGAATCCTTCCTCTGATTGAAAGTCAAAACATAATACCTTTACATCAGTTTGGTTTTAGGTGCAATCACTCCACCATAGATCAAGTCCATAGGATTACCAATGTAGTAGAAAAAGCTCTTGAGGAAAAAAAATCTGCTCAGCTGTGTTTTTAGATGTGTCGCAGGCTTTCGATAAAGTCTGGCACTCCGGATTGCTTACCAAAGTAAAAAATATTCTCCCAACGGAGTATTATGACATAATCTCCTCTTACTTATCTGATCGTTACTTTCGAGTAAAGCACGGTGATACCTATAGTAAACTGCATAAAATTAACGCTGGAGTTCCGCAAGGTAGTGTCTTGGGTCCTCTCTTATATCTGATTTATACACACGACTTGCCAACGAGTGCAACAACGTTCACAGCAACTTTTGCTGGTGATACTGCAGTCCTTGCAGTTGGAGAAAGCGCAGTAATAGCAGCTAATAATTTGCAAAATAGTATGGACAGTATAATTGCTTGGACAAAAAAATGGAAAATTAATCTGAATAAAGAAAAATCAGTGCATGTAAATTTCACAAATCGAAACATCAGTCATATACCTGTCTACATCGATGAAGCACAAATCCCTCACGCGAATACTGCGAAATACTTGGGTATGACTTTGGACGCTAAACTAAGATGGAGCGAGCACATAAAAAAGAAAAGAAGTGAATTAGATCTTAAATTCAAATCGTTGAAATGGTTAATCGGCAAAAAATCAAAACTATCGCTTTTCAATAAACTTGTATTATACAAACAAATGCTCCAGCCAATCTGGACATATGGAATACAGCTATGGGGTTGCGCAAGCAGAACACAAATTTCCATTATCCAAAGATTCCAAAATTTCATGCTACGGAGTGTAACAAACGCGCCATGGTACGTGAGAAATTCTGACTTACATCGTGACCTTGGAGTGACAACAGTACAGGAAGAAATTCATACCAAAGCCAAATCACACCAAGATAGACTTAGTTGTCACATAAATGCTGAGGCGCATTTACTAGCGACAACTGAGCCAATACGCCGTCTAAAGCGCCGAAAGCCGTGCGATCTTTGGGCTTAAATCATTGAAATATAGTACAATTAATTTATTATTGCGTGGAAACGCCTAATCTATTTAAATTTAAATTGCTTGTTAGTTATCTAATAACTAGTTGCTTTATGTCTTGTTTTGTTTTATTTATTGTTCTTTAAAATCATATATAATAATAAAACAATTTATAATAACAAAAAAAAAAAAAAAAAAAATTTAATAATGCAACTACTAAATATTCTTAGGACTAACAAGAATTTTTAGTTTGATAAATTATAAATGTTTAAGCTAAGGTTTTATTACTTAATGAGATCAAAGGGAGATATTATACGTTTTAATCTCTGTGCTGAGTCAGTTGCGTTGATTAATTGACTAAATGATTACATAAATTATAAAAATTATTGACACGAAGAAAATTAAATCTTTGTGATTAATCCAAGAAGTTTACTTTAAAGTACAATTTTTTAAAAATCAAACTGAAGCAGAATATTTAACATTTATCAAAATCCTTTGCCCAAATTATGAATCAAATTCATTGATTATTCAGACCTATATATTACTACTCTTACTTTGTAATGTTCTCAAATTTATATTAGATATATTCATTTTAAAATAAACATATATCATATATAAATATATATTTATTTCACACCTAATATGTATACTTACAGATTAGCATTGACCCGTATCATATAGAAATCTGGCCAGGTTATATTACATCCATTCGTCAACATGAGCGGGATATTCTTCTCTGCACTGAGATTACACATAAAGTTATGCGCACCGATACTCTTTACACCATACTTCGTCAACTAACGGTCGAAACTAAAGACTATCAAAAAGCTTTTAAGACTGAAGTTATAGGTAAGCAACAGACATAATCTATGTTATACATATGAATACATGGATCTTATTTTATTTTAGGTTCTATTGTGTTGACGGACTATAACAATAAAACTTATCGTATAACTGACGTTGATTTTACGAGTTCTCCTCTATCGACATTTTCATTGAAAGATACAAAAGTTTCATTTGCTGAATATTTTAAATCGGTAAGTTTAGGTTTCACATATATACAATTATTACTATAAATAAAACCAATTATTATTATGTACAATAATAAAACAAATTGGGAACAAATAGTTCCCATTCTTTTAATAATTTATTATAATCCGTTTTAGCAATTTATCAGTAGTTAAGTAGTACAAGTATTATAGTACGACTATTATTAACAACTATTGCGATTATTATAACAGTAGGAAGCTGATAGCTATAAATTAAAAAATTTAGTAAGAGTTCATATTCTGATTTAAATAAGGCTAAAATAGTTCTTTGCACCCTTTACAATTGTATAACGATCCTATGCTTCTCATAGGAGTTAAAATTTATATATATAATTTATATATATAATTTACATATGTAATTCATATGTTTAATTTATATATATAATTTATATATATTCAATTGTATTACATTGAATAGTATAATATAATAATATAAATCATAATGTAGTTTGATAGTGTACATTATTAGAAGACATAACTATTTTATGTAGGTATCCAAAGGAACAAAACTTACCATATTTACAATTTTTAAAACTCTCATTTGAGCACAACAAACTTTTCTATCACATGCGTCCTACGTTCAAAAGGACCGAGGTGCTTTTCGGGATGTTTTTTCAATTACCACGCCACCAAAAACCAGCACCAAAAGTTGAAATTGAAGACCCAATCCTTGCTTTATGGACTCTTTCAAACAAATTTTCCTTCCAGCTAAGTTAAGTTTAGAGTTGAGTATGAGACCCAGATATTCTTGTTTAAGCTATTTTTATCTTGGTTAAGAAAAAGAAAGAAATTATAGGCCTACTAGTAAAGAGTATTACCTCATTTTTATGTTGAGTTAGTTATAAAACCATATTCACTATATCATTTTTTTTAGTGACTGACAAAGAGTTAATAATATTAGATAGTAACTGTGAAAATTTGTTCAATGCGTTGATAGCATATTCGTTCACATAAAAAAGTTATAGCTCTGCATCCAAATTATTTCAACATTATTATTTTATCATCATTGATTGTCATTATTACTATTAATTATCATCATTTTTATTATTAATGATCATTATAACCGATTATCATTTTTATTATTAATACTCATTATCACTGATTATCATTATTATTATTATTAATTAACATGATCACTTATTATCGTTTTTATTATTATTATTTATTACTATATTTATTTATTATTATTTATTATTATTATTTATTATTATTATCATTTTTATTAATAATTATTGTTAATATTATTATTATTAATTAATATTATTAATTATTATTATTATTATTAATAATTATTATTATTAATTATTAATATTATTATTAATTATTATTATTATTAATTATTATTATTATTAATTATTATTATTATTAATTATTATTATTATTAAGTATTGTTATTATTATTATTATTATTATTATTATTATTATTATTATTATTATTATTATTATTATTATTATTATTATTATTATTATTATTATTATTATCAATCATCACTGTATCAATTCGTATTATAATGCTGGTCATACGAATGAAGTTTGTGATGTTTTCTTAACTGCAATACATTACAAGTATCTTGAAAAACTAATGCGTACCACACGATTAACTACAGAAGCTGGTAATATCACAAATGAAGTTAAGCAAAAGCCTTACTGAAGTACTAAATACGATTAAGTTACAATTGCTAGTTACTCTATTTAATCCATTTGAGAGTAGCTACTGGAAACAGCGACTGTAGTTTAATCATATTTTGGGCATAAACTTAATTTTTATTCACAATAGCACACAGAGTGTAATAATATAAAGATAAAACTCTAAAATAATAAGAAAAATTAATGAATTAGTGATAATATTTAATATTATTTTAATTTTTAACATTTTTAGCTTGTGGAAGACTTATGGTTGTAATGTGATTGTTTCTACAGCAGATGTTTCCATTATTAATGGTTGTCATGAACTGATAAGTGAAGCTGAAAAGTTGGGACCAGTTGGTGGTATCTTTAATTTAGCCGTAGTGCTTCGAGATGCAATTTTTATTAATCAAACAGAACAAATGTTTAAAGAAAGTTTTGTACCTAAAGTGGTAGCTTCAAAACATCTTGATGAAATATCGCGTGTTAATTGTCCTAAGTTGGAATACTTTGTTGTATTTTCAAGTGTATCTTGTGGTCGAGGAAATGCAGGTCAAACTAATTATGGAATGGCCAACTCAATTATGGAACGTATCATAGAAGACCGAATAAAACAAGGATACCCTGCAAAAGCTATACAATGGGGAGCTGTTGGTGAAGTTGGTTTAGTAGCAGAAATAGCGGAAGATAAAATTGATATAGAAATTGGTGGTACTTTACAACAACGTATATCATCATGTTTGCGAGATCTTGATACTTTGTTGACTGTAACTGATGCAGTGGTTTCAAGTATGGTAGTTGCGGAAAAACATATACGCTCTGGAAATCTTAGCATAACCGAAACAGTGATGAATATAATGGGCATACGAGATCTAAAAACAATTTCTTTAGGTACTACGCTTTCAGAAATGGGTATGGATTCTCTTATGGCCGTAGAAATAAAACAAACTCTTGAAAGAGATTTTGAATTAATTTTAACACCACAAGACTTACGGTCTTTGACATTTCAAAAATTACAAGAATATTCTGACGCTC